ATATTAAATTAAACTCTTTAATCTATTTTAAGTTGATTTATAGAGAGTGGGATATAAAGGTCTACTTTTAATCCTTTACATGTGAATGCTCGGCTTTCCTAAGACCAATTTCATGAAGATGTATTCCTCTAAGGTATGTTTTTGTCGTCTTTGGTGAAGAACAAATGTACAGATTTATTTTCTGGGTACATAATCCTATTCCAGTTCTCTCTGTGTCTGCTTTGGAACAATATGCTACTGTGTGCTTAGCCACAACTCTGCAGTGTGCTCTGTAATAAGGTGTTTTGTACAACTATCACTGCCTTGGATAATTAGAGGTGTTTGTGTTTTCATACAAATTACGGGATTTTTTTTCAAGATCTGTGAAGAGTGTTCATTGGTGATTAGAAAAGGCATTGCTTTAAATTTGTGAACTGACTTTCTGTAGTGCTAAATCGTGAGAGGACTTCATGTTTGTTACCTTTGGGATTCTCAGCACTGTTTAGATTCCCCATCACTGGTGTGTTTTTGTGTGCATAGATGTTCATGTATGGATACACATACCTAGGTGTGGAGGCCAAAGGTTAATGCCAGATGTCTCCTCAAACACTGTTTCTCTTATTCCTTGAGATAGTATCTTTTTAACCTTTTTTAATTAATTTTTTTACATTAATTACATTTTATTTATTTTGTATCTCAGCTGTAGCACCCTTCCTCATTCCCTCCCAATCCCACCCTTCCTCCCTCATTTCCTCCCATGCTCCTCTCTAAATCCACTGATAGGGGGAGGTCCTCCTCCCCTTCCATCTGACCCTAGCTTATCTCTCAAAGAATTCAGCAAGACTAGGTGGCCAGAGCTTTTTATGTGGATGGGTTTTGGGGGGATTGAACTCAGAACATCATGCTTATGTGAGCTACATCGCTCTGACTTCTCTATGACTTTTATATTACTTCCCAGAGGTCTTTTGCTCTTTCTTAGCATCTAGTCTCTTTTGTTATCATGACATTCCTTTTTCATGGAGCCTTACAAAGAGAAATTGTCTTTTTGCAATCTTGCTAGCTTTTCCCTTTGTGAATCCATTTGTTCCACACTGTATTTATGTAATCAGTCACTTCCTAAAGGATATGTAGTTTTTCTCTAGTTTTTTTTCATTAATATATTTACTTGCTTTTGTTTATATTTTGAACTATGTAACAAGTCAAAAGAATCTAACAATAAGCCTGCAAGGAAAACTGTTATGGGCTTCCATAACTATAAACATCTGTCAGTTTTCCTGAAGCAGTCTGTAGTTCATAAAAGAACTGTAGCAAGGGTCTGTGCCTTCCCTAGTTTGTCAGATATTGATAACAGTCCTGTAAACTGATTGTGTGTGTCAGCAATGTACAAATTTCCCACTTACTCAAATCACAACCAACAATTTACATTATGAAACTGTATCTTCCCTGACATTAAATTCTGTATCGTTTTCCTTATTATGTAGTTCCTCAATTTCTATTAAGACTGGGGATCTTTATAGTCTTACTAAATTGGGTGTGCGTCTTATGTAAATTACTTGCTTCTCTCAACCATTTTTTATGTATGTGGATGTTCCATATGAATATGGACTTGGAATTGTTTCATTCATTTATTTATCTAAGTCTGCACCGAGGCTGTGATATTTCTTCACGGAAGACTTGAGTTTTTGAAATGTTTCATTCATTTACCTAATTTTGTATGGAGGCCATGATGTTTCTTTCTTTATGAAACACTTGAGTATGCTATTAGTACACGTTTGTATATCACCAGTCTTATCGTATCAGTGTACTCCCACTCTTCATTAAAGAAAAAACATTCATTTCTCTCAGTTTAACATAAAATTAAACTATAATAAAATCACAATTGTTTTCATTCAACATGATGTGCACTTCTAAATTGTCTCGAGGTATTTATAATTTGTGTAAATAGCTGATATTTGCCTATTTTAATTTATTAAATTTAGTGTTCAAAATAATAGGGTTCATTATATTTTTATTCAAATTATGTTGTATTTTTCTTATAGTTATTTTTGATTGCCATCTCTTCTTCCATTTTTCGTTCTTACTTAGTCTCATGCTCCCCACAATTAGTCCTTTCATGCCATATTTGCCTAATTTTTGATGGTTTATAGTACTTAATGCCTTTTTGTTGCCCTAGATCTCTTATCCTTTTTCCATGTCCTATAGGTATGTTAAGAAAGGATCTCTGTTTTTCGGTTTGAAGCTCTACGTAATTTAACTAGAATGCACTTCTTTTACAAAGACAGACATTAGCACACTGTCCCTTTGAATCCTGCTTTTCTCACGGCTGGAGTTGATTTTAAACCTGTGGAGCTTTCTTGCAGCAATCTCACAGTGTGGCTGCCAGCTCACTCTCCACCTCCTTTTCCATGCTGTCCTTTAGCATCAAGGTCTCCATTAGCGCTCCCATATTCGGGAGTCCTCTTCACCAGAGGATCTTTTCAAGCTCTTTCTGAAAGCATGCTTGAACCGTTGCTCTTCTGCCAATTAGCTCTGTCTCAAGTCTCAGGAGGGCTGCACCCACACTATCGCGGTCCCTTTGGAACATCTAACATGCCGAGGAGCACTTGGAAGTCACGGTCTTACTGTTTTTGTCTAGGATATCTAAGACCTCATTGATGTCAGGCGATTCCACAAGGTTCCTTGCTCTGTGAGAACAGTGTTGGTTTCTGCATTTTATTATCTGCATTAATAGACATACAGGAAATGAGAACATAATGATAGAGAGCAGCCAGAAATAATCAAAACTTCAGGTTTGAGGCAATAATTTTTCCCAGCTTCATGTTTTTCATAATAGATTTTTTTTTTTTTGCTTTGCTGTGGATTTTTTTTATTCCTTTTTAAATTGTTTATTTATTTACTCACTTTACATCCCAAACCTCCCCAGGGGAAATGGAACACAGTGCAGTGAGCCAAGATGGTTTCCTTTTCTCTTGTATCTACTAGCCATCTCATAACTGCAATTTCTATATATGTGACTAAGAACTAGAGAACATGTCAGTAACCATATTTCTCTCAGAGTAACTGATCAAGTTCTAAATTCATATCAAATGAATGCTTTTGCTCACATTTGATCTAAAGAGACAATCCTCAAGACATTTAACTGATAATTCATGTGTCCTGTCACTACTCTCACTACTTATAATATGATAGGGAAAAACAATCAAATTCCTCTTTGGTGACTGATATGCAAGGTCCATGTGAAGAGGATCTAGACAGTTTTGATAAGACCTGATAGGCTAGGGTCAGAGAGAAGAGGAGGACCTCCCCTATCAGTGGACTAGGGTAGGGACATGGAGAGGAAGAGTGAGAGAGTGAGAGAGGGTGGGACTGGGAGAAGATGAGGGAGGGGGCTACAGATGGGCTACAAAGTAAATAAATTGTAATAAATAATAATAATGATAATGAAAAAAAGATTTTTTTGTTTTTATATGCACTGGTGTTTGCCTGCATGTATGATTATGTGAGGGTGTTGGATTCCCTCTGTCTGAAGCTCTAGACGGTTGTGAGCTGCCATATGGCTGCTAGGAATTGAGGTTGGATTCTCTCAGAAAGCTGCCAGTGCTCTTAACTGCTGAGCCACTCTCCAGCCCCCAAAATAATATTTCAATACTCATGTTGCTACTCAAAATGTATTTCAAAATTATGTGAATGCTTTGAATTAAAAAATGCAATTCTTTGGGACTATTTAATAAATTAGTATGGCAGATTCACAGGAAGAGTGGAAACTCTTATTTAAGGATTGACTCCTGAACTCATGAATTTTCTTTTTAGATTTGTGGACACTGAATTGACCAAGGGGAGTGCCTTTCATAAAAAAAAAAATATTACAATGTACAACTGTTCTGTGGCAGCAAGCAAATTGGCATTATGACAGTTTAAAAGAAGGCATAAAAGACTTGATTAAAGAAAATGAAAGAGAAAATATTTGGAGCTAAAGGTCTGGGGATTGTTTAGATTTGCAAGTGCAGTAAGAACCTTTTATGTTTAGGCTAGAACCTTTTGAATCAAGACAAAATCATCATCTACAAAGTTCATATTCAAGAGCTATATGATGGAGTAACAAAAACAAGTCACAAAAAAACCCCACAAAATGTTTTAAGTAATCTTACAATTTTATACTGGGCCTCATTTAGCTGTCCTCAACATGTTTTGGGGGCTGTCTTACTTAGGGTTTCTATTGCTTAAGGGACACCATGATCTAGCAACTCTAATAAAAATCAAACAAATGAACAAACAAAAACAATTTAACATTGGAGCTGGCTTACAGTTCAGTGGTTTAGTTCATTCTCATCATGTTGGGAAACATTGCAGCACACAGGCAGACATGGTACTGGAGAGGCATCTGAGAACACATCCGGATCTGCAGGCAGCAGGGAGAGAGAGAGAGAGAGAGAGGGAGAGGGAGAGAGAGGCTCTGGGCATGGTTTGTGCATTTGAGACCTCAAAGCCCACACTTAGTGTGACACTTCCTCCAACCAAGCTATACCTACTCCAAAAGGCCAAACCTCCTAATAGGGCCATTCCCAGTGAGCCTCTTCAAACCACCCCTGAGGCCAACAAAGGACAGTCACATTAGTAAAAGTGCAGCCATTATCCAAATTGTTCAGAAAATTTTTCAACATGGAAGTGATGCTTTGTAACTTTTTAAACACTAGGCAGATGTAAAGTTTCACCTTTTAATTTTTAAATCTTGGTTATATTTTTGCATCTGAATTCTGCCTCTGGTGGTGGTAGCAGAGCCACGAAGAGTAAGTAGCATATTAGTTTCTAGGCTTACGGGAGTACGATGCCAAACTGTTGGTAGTATGTGTGTTGGTCGACTTCTCTGCATTCATCGGCTAACATCTTTAGGTAGGAACGGAGTTACCAGTTCAGGGTCAGTTAGGGCTTCTGCAAAACTCACAGCCGGCAAGAAAAGCATTGCTTCCTATGTATTTCCTTCCGGTTGCTCTTCAACACAATTGCCTTGTCCTTTTCACCAGGTGGTTGACCAGATTGATACCCTGACCTCTGACCTGCAGCTGGAGGATGAGATGACTGACAGCTCCAAAACGGACACTCTGAACAGCAGCTCCAGCAGCACAACGGCTTCCAGCATAGAGAAGATCAAAGAACAGGCCAATGCCCCGCTCATTAAACCTCCGGCACACCCATCCGCTATCCTCACAGTCCTGAGAAAGCCAAACCCTCCACCGCCTCCACCAAGGTTGACACCTGTGAGGTGTGAAGAGCCTCAAAGGGTGGTGCCTACCGCCAACCCTGTAAAGACCAACGGCACTCTGCTCCGGAATGGAGGCTTAGCGGGTAGGCCGAACAAAATTCCAAATGGAGACATCTGCTGCATACCCAGCAGTAACCTGGACAAGGCTCCATTGCCATCTCTGATGCACAGACCTGAGAAGGACAGGAGTCCGCAGGCAGGGCCTCGGGAAAGAGTGCGGTTCAGTGAAAAAGTCCAATACCATGGCTACTGTCCTGACTGTGAGACTCGGCATAACATGAAGAACAGGGAGGTCCAGTTACACAGTGAGCCAGTTCATCCGCCTGGAAAGAGCCCTCACCAAGGCCCTCCACTCCCTCCTCCTCCTCCTCATCTCCCCTCTTTCCCGTTAGAAAATGGGGGACTGGGCCTAAGCCACAGTACCAGCTTCCCCCCTCCCACCCCTGCACCTGTGCCTGCCCCCACTGCACCGAAACCACAAAAGACCATCCTGAGGAAATCCACCACCACCACAGTGTAACGTCTGCCGTTCAAGACAACTTTCTGTTTGTTTTTAGTTTTCTATACGATAAACGCAAAATCATACGTAACGAGCACTTTCTACTCAAGCAATAAAAAGCCCAAATATATTAATCTGCATTCAACAAAATGGCATAAAAACCGCCTGGTAAGTATGCAGAGCGATGCGTCTGTCCCGGATGTACATTCTTTTCCATGTTCCATCATCAGAAACTTCAGAATAACGAGAAAGTCTGAATGCATTTTATTTTTATTTTTTGCGATTGACCTGTGAAAAACTGTGACCTTCAGATTCCAAGTATTTTGATTTACTATGCGAGAGGATCTCAAATATTTTGGTTGGTTGATAAAGTCAGGGCAGTTCATTTCATTCATGCCTAACTCATCTATGCATTGATGATGTCATAATCCTCCCTTTGATCTAATGCTTTTTAATAAGAATTTTAATACTGAAGGACTATTTTATTATTTTTCTAAAGATGTTTGTCAATAGTTTTGCATCATGAAATGCTGAGAACAATACCAAAAAGTTTATTTTCTATACTATACAATTATGAATCATGTGTTCAAATATACGTGTAATAAAATATTTTGAGCTTTGGAAATATGTCAATAAATAATAGTAAATAATGAGAAAGCCTAATGTTCCTGAGAATTAAAATGAAGTAGAGGTTACTTTAACCCCATGTTAATATTCAATGAAATGGGAAGCAAGTCTCAAGAGTTTGAACAAGATGACACTTGGATAAATTGGATACCACAATTTCTAAATTAAATATCATAATCGATGCGGTAAGTATATCCTTCCAATATTTTTATATTGTATGTCTCCATTATGGTACTTCTAGAACCATTGCTAAGCCTTCTCACTGGACACATTGTAGATAAGGCCATTGAAAGGTTGAAATTTTTGCCTTCTGTCTACCTGAGCAAGCTCAGTTTCCACGGAAGAACACACATTCGTAGCAGGGAAGGTGGAGATGTCGCTGGCCACAGGGTTGTTCAGCAATGGCCTTTCTCTTTGTATGTTCTGAGTTCAAGGATGTCAGGGATTTGTTTTATTTCTTTTTTTTCATGTTTCATATGAGAATATTTTCTTTCTACCCATTAAATCCAAGTCCTGGGTGATATTTGCAATCTAAGAAACTTACAAATTCAGGAGTCAACAGTTATCAGTTGTACGGATTTGGACTGATGTGATTTTTGCCTTGGAGCTAAAAATTATTTATCTCACCTGAAATGATTTTGAGATAAAGTGCCTGGAGGGATGTCTTTTAAGATGTAACAGTGGAAGGCAGAGTGTTGGTGAGAATTAGTTTATTATGTGATTGATCTGAAAAGTATAGTGACCTTTTCAAATATTATCCTTCTGATTTTAAAACTTTAACTTTTGCTGCTACAGGGGGTGGTCTTATGATTTAGAACACTCTTTTAAACAGCTTTCTATTGAAATATGACAATGTATTTTGGGACGACTATACCAAGAATATAACATTTATTACTTAAATGAATGTTCGAATGAACAAAATAAGTGAAGAATAGAGAATGTTCTGTTAAAAATTTATTCAATGTGCTATTTTATCTTTTTGTGTTGTACATGAGGATAATGTAATTTACTAATCCAATATTTTGGAAAGATATAAAACAATAATGAAGAAAGACGACACTTTGGTACTTATTAATGGAATGATCAGTGTATTTAAGAGATACCAAGCAGGAAAATAAATGATTGAACTGTTGAATACCAAAATAATGTGTTCTTAACTTTTTACTCTATGCATTGTCTTGAAATAAAAATTACTGTAGTAATATAAACTTTTATATTGATATATTACTGCCATTTACTCTCCAACCTAGTATTAGGTCATTGAACTTTATTTTCTTTCTTTAGTCCATCTTTCTTTTCAGCCAGTTACTAAGATCTAACAATTACCACATGGATTCATATTTTGACCCATGCCAATGTCTGGGAACCACATTTTATCTCAAGGTATCACAAGTAATTCACAGAAAAGATGATTCTTTTGGTAGTAAAACAAACTGAATGAGCTGAGTCATTGAAATTTTGTGAATAAGGACATTGGCTAATATGCCTCCCCAGACCCAGATCCATCTTTTGTCTTCAAAATATAGACAAAGTTTTCCCATAAAAGGCTGTATTTTTTGTTTAATTAGTGACTACAGTTTTTTTATAAATCAAAATATTTATGAATAAGTAACTAGAAAATCAAGTCAAATTTCTTGACTTACAATTTGTATATTTTTCATAAAATTTACACCAGTTATTTATGTATTAACCAATATAAACAAGTCCAGTACAATAGTATCAAGACTAAGTTCTTTTAAATCCAGGTTATTTCAATTTCCTTTAGCATTTTTTAATATACTGTACTAAAATGATATTTGCAAAATTGATAATTTTGCCACATTTACTGGAACCTATACTTTGAAGGCATAGAAACCTATATACAATGTAAAGAAATTAGGATGGAATATCATAATATTTTTCTGGAAACATAATTTATATGTCACCAAAGACAGAACAGTCTTTATAACCAGCCAACACTGCAGCAAGATTGCAAGGCTGAAGCACACACTCTGCTCACTGTGGAGCAGAGCATTAAGAAACACAGTATACCATTCCACATGTAGGCAACACTATATTGCTCCTCTTTCTTTTTTTTAATTAAAATTTTATTTTTTACATTAATTTTATTTGCTTTGCGTCCCAGCTGTAGCCACCTCCCTCATTCCCTCCCAACCCCACTCTCCCTCCCTCATGTCCTCCCCTGCCCTTTTCCAAGTCCACTGATAGGGGAGGTCCACCTCCCCTTCCATCCGACCCTAGCTTATCAGGTCTCACCAGGACTGGCTTCAGGGTCTTCCTCTGTGTCCTGGCAAGGCTGCTCATCCCTGGGGAGGGGGGCGTCAAAGAGCCAGCCACTGAGTTCTTGTTAGAGACAGTCTCTGTTCCCCTTACTAGGGTACCCATTTGGATACTGAGCTGCCATGGGCTGCATCTGAGCATGCGATCTAAGTTATGTCCATGAATGTACCTTGGTTGGAGTATCAGTCTCACATAGCACCCCTGAGCCCAGAAATTTTGGTCCTTTTGCTCTCCTTGTGGAGCTCCTGTACTCTCCAAGTCTTACTAACTACCTCTTCTTTCAGGAACTCACACAGATGTGAAAGCTTTCCCGTGTTTTCTTTGAAGCAGCAACTTGTTAGGATATGCATTTGTGAACTTTTATTTACAATTGAGAAAAAGTCTTTTAACCTCCTAATATTTGTAACAGTTTTATACAGAAGTCAATCTCCCATTTTTAAATTATCCTTAAACTAAGGGTTAAAATAGTTTCAGAAAAATACAAAGTGAAACAAAACCATAAAACATGTCCCGCTTCCAATTTGTTATTTTTATGTTTCCTCATTAACTTACTAATATGCTGGGAAGAAATGAATTTGGTAGCAGCAGAGTTGGTTTAATTGACCTAAGAAAAGCACTTAGATTTGAAACATAATATTCACTTCACTGCTACTGTTCAAAAAGGAAAGGAAGAAGACACATTTTTTTTTTTTTTTTTTTTTTTTTTTTTTTTTTTATGGCATCAAGGCATAGCCTATGGTAGCAGTTTCATCATGAAAGCCCCGGCCCCTCTGATGATCCCATATCAAATATCCAACCTATCATATGTTTACATTAAAATTCACAACAGTGACAAAACTACAGTTATAAACAGTTTTGAAGTTGCAACAAAATAATCTCACTACAACATGAGATCACCATAAGATGAGGTCGCAGCATTAGGAAGGTTGAAAACCACTTATCTATGGGGAGTATGAACCTACTCATAGCCTTTTGTCTCTATATTTCAATTAAGGCTTTTATTTTGGGTGTGTGTGTACTTTATGAACAAATCTCAGTAGCTATGTATTTAATTGCATGTAATGAAGTGAGGAGCCATTCTTGTCTGTATATGTGGCTATATGTGGCTGAGACTCATAATGATCCTGAAACTTCTGTTTGTTTTTTTTCCTCTTTAGTCTTTCATGGTAACATATTTTTCTGTAATATACTGTTAAAACAGGAGCAGAAAGATTGCACTGCAATTTACTTTACTAAAACACTTATATTTCTGAGTGAGAAAATGATTTATGAGCAATGGAGTTTTAGAAAGATGCATCACATAATTAGGCAAAGTGTTTGGGGCTCTGACAATTACCAGGCATTATCATAAAATCATATGGCATTTCTTGGGTCAATGTGTAGCTGTGGCACTACAATTAAGGTTTCAGGGTAAACATTTCAGAGTTTTAGAGTCATTCAACTTGGATGATTCTAAAATAATGACAGGCATGATGCAAATGCCGAGGCACCCGGCAGCATTGAGCACACGCGGCAGTTAGCTTGGCCCTCATGAAGCTGTGATTATGTGGGTGGCATTCCATTTGAAGAACTTCAATTTATTTTTTCTGTCTCTTACGGGGGGAGTATTTTTTTCTGGGCATTTTTATGTTGGCATGACTACTCAAGCTTTTTCATTTCCAAACATCACCATTTAATTGTGTTCGTCGCAGCTCTGAACTCTGCGTAACCTTTCTTTATTTTATAGTTATTTTGATGCTCGAGAAGAGTTACCTAATGTTGTTCTGACATTTTTAATGTGTTTGATCTATATATAATGTATGTGTGAAGGGATTTCAGACAGTTTAGGCACCATGTAAATGGAATGGGTCCCTGAATAATGCAAGCCTCGTTTTCTCATGTATACTAACACAGCGTCACCTCTCAGTTCTTCCTCAAATTTAAACATTCTTATTATGATTCTTTCTCCCCAGAATACTGAATTCACAGTCTTCATGCTGTTGACCCTAGGTGTGTCATTTTATTTACTAGCGTTTCCTTTATGAATTCCACCTGCCTAACTTTGACCCTGAAAACTGAAATAGCTCTGGCTCACAATGGAACCTTTAAGAAACCAATGTGATAGAACCCTCTCTAATGAGAGTTACCTTTCCTTTGTTATAAGAAAGTAGATGTAATTTTCCACGATTTTAAAACTTCATTGACAGTCCTCATAATTACAGAGCGGGTTTTGGACCAAATAAATAAATGTGTGTTTGCGTAGAGTGGGTGCTGGTTCATGAAAGCCAGACATGTTATACCAGTCACTCTAATGAACGTATTTCCTGCTGAATACTCTTCAAAAATGCTTTTGTTTACATCATTTTATATCCATAACATCTTGATAACTTAAACATTGTCATTATCTAAATTTTACATACAAGCAAACTATGGCACTGGAAACCGGGTGCCTGAGATGTTAGAGTCCTTTGTGGCCAAATGATAAAATTGTAAAGCAGGTGTATTTCCCCACAGCTCACGCTCACTCCCTCCTCCAGAAGCGCAGCACTGTTGAGAGATAATCTGCTGAAACCAGATCCATTATTTCCTAGAATTCACTCAGAAAGTTGTTGGGTGATGCACACTGAGAAAAGATAGTGTATTTCTACATTGGTCAAGAGTATCTGAGTCTCCATGCTACCACAGAGCAAATAACGCTAGTGCATTGGTTCTCAACCTGTGGCCGCTTTGGGGGTCGAA